AAAAAAAGAGTGGACTTTTTGAGAAACTTAAATTCAGACTTCTGAAAAAGCTCACCCCAAGATTCTGGTGCTGAAATATGGCATGCAGATGCATTATATAATACTCAGACTGGAATATTTCTAACTATGAATGGCAGCTTCTAGACTAATACAAGCATATTTTCTTATTTTTTGGTCCAAAATAGCTCCTATTAGAATTGTAACAAAATATATATAGTCAATCATAAGCAGGAAAATAGGATAGGGAAGGGAGAAAACCAGCAGTTTCCTTTCAGAAACAGAGCATGCAGTGTGCTGGTAGACACCTGTTTCCAAAATATTTCATTATGGCACAGTTTGGGACTGCCTGATGTTTAATTATACACTAACTATAGACACTGGTGGTCCAGGACTGAATCCAATTCAGTGGGAAAAAATCTACTTTGCTTATCATGTTTTCTTCATAGGAGAAATGGAATGGCAATAACAGCATGTGAGCTCAGGCACCTGATGGCTTTTTCTGATGAGGCATTGTAGTGCTTGAGGGGAAGAAACTTGATTCCGGGGTGGATGTGTGAGCATTTTTGTCTAAGTGTAGTAAGATAAAACACAGTGATGCCACCATAAGAAGAAAAGAATTTTTATAAGAAAAAAATTGTGGTTCCCCTAATGAAGCACAGGTGAGTTTGGCTCACTAGGACAAGGGATCCCCAGTCCTGATGAAAGCTGTCAGTAGTATCACTTCTGCAGATGCACACGGAGCAATGCTCATTTCTGTAATCATACAGTGCAGGAAAAACTTTTTAAGTGGGCAAGACAATACATTAAAAAAACAGGTGAGTTTTCTGTTTAGTTTCACAGCCATAGATTATTTTTAAATATTTGGGAAATACTTCATCACATAGTTAATCCAAGTAGAATAAAGTATCACTGCCACACTGAGTCATTAAGCTTTAGTCTAAAAAAGATTTGTGAGAGAAGTGTCTATGATAAGGCGCAGAAATTTATGTGCAGTTACTCTGTTGTCTAGCATTGTGCTGTTCACAGCTGTATGGAGTAATTAGGCACAAAGCACAGCCAATGTATCTTGAGTATACCTAACACTATCTGGCTGAGCTGGTGATGGTTCTTTCCTTTAGTGTAATCATAGCTACCTGCCTAGGTTGTAGATTGAAAGTGCTGCTCAACCTTCTGGCTTAGTTACAGGCTAAGAAGATGATAATCAGTCTTGCTTTGTTTCAGGTGGGTACTTTTGGCTTGTACTGGACATCTATAGGCTTCTCTCTTTTGAGAAAAATACTGGTAGGATTTTAAAGAATTAGATAGCACATATATTTGTGAAAGACAGTATTTAGGGAGGTTTTTAATACTTGGCTGGTTACTCAGGACAGTTTATTACTTGCTTTAAAGGCAAGAAATCTTGCTTTTAAAGGTAGTTGTGGGGAGATGAGTGTGAGACTTGGAAAATGGATCATGTGTGCCACTTAAAGACACCTTCCAGAAGACATAAACAACTAGTGGTTAATTTGTTGTGTGAAATCCAGGGTAATAATAATAAAAAGCCAAGAGGATCTTTTGAACATCTGTACTATTCTCCAGGTCAGGGTAACATGACTGAGACCCTTTGATGTGCAGTCCTGACTAGGAAAACAGCTCTTGAAGCAGAAATATACAGCCTTTATCTTGCATGGAATAGTGAGTTATCTGAGAGTGAGGAGAGGCTAAATTAGCCCTGTACTTTTGGCCCTTGCAAAAAGGCTGTGTAGCATATGTGGCAATAATTCCTGGTACCTCAAGACAAGATTTACTCAATGTATTTTTGGCCTTCCTAGTCACTAGAAACCAAGATGGCAAGATTACTGGAATTAGAAATTCCAGGTGCCTCTCTACACCAGTTATATGGCTTTGACTCCAGCTCTGTAATACTCTCCACTTCTGATAATGTCAGCTTCGTTAACCTCACCTTAAATGAGGGCAGAATATCTTTAGGTGAGTACTGCTGAATCACAATGGCCTACATGAAATGGTTTTCATTCCACTGGGTAATGAATAGTTTTACTCTCTCCTTCTACATATTTCAGTATGTGAAGATTCATTCCAACACACAACCACAGCTTGCCTGGGTTTTCTTAATTGAAGAACACCCCATGCAAAAAGTGGTTTAGGACTGTAACAGATGCATTGCTTTATTTAGGCAAAAGCAGTCTTGTTATCTGTCATTTTGTGGCTGATGTGAAGGCTCTGAATGGAGTGTTGGCATTATCTGTTTGACAATGATTTGATGCAATGCTACACTGTGCTATAAATTAGTGTCAAGAAGCAAAATGCTAATGATAGAGGCCTCTCTATGCACTGGTGACTTAAATAGCATGTTTCTTTTAAATTCAACAGTGACTCACTCTCTTTTAAATAAAACCCCTCTGAGCTATTTAAATGATGCCATGAAGTTCTAGTGCATATTTCCTTTGATTCTGAATACTTTGGTGTTTACTTGAATAACTTTCAAAATAATCTTTTGAGCATTGTACTAATACCTTGAAACCTCTTGCTTTTTGTAAGCAGATTTTTTCCAAAGAAATATTTGATTATCAAGTAAAATGGTGGAACTCTGTTTGCTCATTTTCTGCACTAAATGGAATTGAAGCTGACAGTGGTTTTCTGTACTTTCTTGGAGATTATACCAGACCTAGGTGAAATCCTGAGCACCATTTTAAATGTACTTATCACCATTTAGGACTCTCTCTCATGTAATCGAATTGGTATTGACTAGAGAGAATTTCCCAGGACAGATGGAATCATTTTGCTCTTGTAAAATAGTAGGGCACACACCGACTGAGCTCTACTAAACTAAGTGGCACCATCACAGCTTAATTGGCTGGGGATTCAGACACATGAATCAGGAGGATCTTCTTTGCTCCAGTTTTGTGCATTGATGAACACTGCTGATGACATATAAGTTTTTCTCCAAGTTTTAAATGCACAGTACAAGTTCTTTGTATCCAGAGAAATATGTCAATGTATCAGCTTTCTGCTGCCATTCTCATCCCTACACACACATACTGGGCACTCTCAAAGCTCTTTTGGATTGAAGTAATTCCCAAGACAGTGCTATTGAAAAAGAAGTCTTTGTTGGTGATGATCTATTATATTCTGCTAATATCTCCCTACTGCAGATATTATCTACGCACTGAGGAATGTAAAGAAATGAAAAGAGAATCCTCAAAAAGAAGAAAATACATCTTGTCATTTAGGATATTTAATAATGGGGTATGCTCTTTGCTTTTCAGAACAAAACAAAGATTTTAAAGGAACATCTTTCCAAACCAGACCTGAACAGATGACAAAAAATTCCTTCCCAAACACAGGATCTTTCTATCACCTATAACTTCATCTTGTTGTGTAAAAAGGTTGCAAGGTGGCAAATGAATTCTGCAGCAAAAGGGAGGAAAAATAATGATGATCTCAATGAAGAATGCCTTCTGGTGAAGACATATTTTGACGAATGACTCTTTTAACAGTCCCAAAAGTTGCTACAGGACTTCTAATTCAAATACCTGGTGTCATTTATACATCAACACAAAAGTTTCAGAAAAGTATATTTCAGGTAGCCATCACTTAATCTAAAAAATGATTTATCATTTGAAACTATCATCCTACTCTGCACCTGGAAAGGAACTGAAAAAAACCCCCATCATTAGCTGATCATAAGTATAAAATATCTTGTAATAGACTGGTCATTTTTGTATCACTTCAAAGTCTCTGAAAGAGAATCATTAGTAATATTCTGACAGAAAAAATAATCACTTTAGCATAATATATCCTGCAGGTATTTCTAATAAAGTCCTTCCTCAGGTTTAAATTGTGATTCACATATAAATGGAAGTACAAATTATCCTTGTTCCATGCCAACTGCAGCTATGAACAATGACATGTCTGGAAATATTCATATTATCAGTCCTGAAATCCATGTGTGTTTCAGTGAGGAGAAAAATCTAGCTACATGTCACTTCCAGGCTAGACATACATAGCTGAGGAATGACAAAATTGCTTCTTTGCAATCAACAGATTTTTTTGTTAATGCCAGCAGTTAAATAACCTAAATCATTCTCATAGCATCCATACCAAAAGTGAAAGGATCAAAGGATGAAAACCAACTACTGGGCAAGGTGCACAGTACAGGTTCTGTTTATGGAGCAGGGCAGTTTCCACTCCAGAGCTCTCCTTTCTTTTTAGTGTTCACTTAATGTTTATACATTGAACATGAAGTTGTCTTCATGATAGTTGAATTCAAATAATACATTAGGAAGAAACAAAGAAATATAAGGGCGTATCTGTTCAATGGCAGAGAAGGTAGACAGAGCGGGGCCCATGAGCAGCTGAATTTGTCAGCATCAGGAAGATGTTTACAGAAAAAGGTAAGGAAGAGAAGATAGGTGAGGACATATAGAAAGAAATTAGGAAGAGATAGCAGAAGAAAGGAAAATTAAGGGAAAAGCAGATAAAAGGTGTAACAGAAGAGCCATACAGAACAAATCCTCAGATTCCTTTAGAGTGGCTGCTCATGATGACTCTAGTGTTTAACACTCCACCTCGATTATGGAACCCTAGCAGCAGCCCTGTTGTCTTACTGCTGTCACTAGAGGCAAAATACAGACACTATGATGTCCATTTAAGGGAAAGAGATAATAAATGGGTCCATTCAGGACAAGGCAAGGAGTTGTATTTTTTCTCTTGTGTTTTTTTTCCTCCCAGAATTTTGTTTTTCTCCCTAGATTCATACACAGTTGCCAGACCCAGCACTTCCAACTTTGTTTTCCCATTGCTTTGTCAACAGTTTTTGCACAGCATTTTAACTAAATCAAACCCAAAACTTGCAGATGTGGGACAGAGGACTCGCTCCACTCCCAGTGCAGAGGCAAAGGAAATTAGCAAATTAGCACACTTCCTTTTGTCCTTCCACTCTAAGTAACTCTCAGAAGATGACAATAGCCTCCCCACACTCCCACATTAGAAAACTTTACCTAAGCGTTTCCCCAGATGATCCCCTTCTTTTCCACAGGTTCACCAGGCTGCTGGAGCGGCTGGCGGCTGAAGAGGACTTTCCATCCCCTACGTGCATGCGGACCACCGTCGACGTGGTGAACGCACTGCGCACGTTCCTCTCGGGCTTGGCGAGGATGATGTACACCTTGGGCACAAACATGCAGCCAAGGGCCACCGTGGCACTCAGACTCACTGAGAAACACATGGTGATTATCTTGTAGTTGCTTCCAAAATATATTGGCACAAAAGCCAGCCAAATGATGCAGGTGGTGTACATGGTGAAGGCAATATATTTTGCTTCGTTGAAATTAGCTGGGACGTTTCTTGTCTTAAATGCATAAAAGGTGCAGCTCAAAATTAATAACCCATTATATCCAAGGGGAGTCACAACACCCAAGTTGGTGGTGTTACAAATCAGGTAGACCTCTCGGATGCTTGGGTAATCATGCATTATGTCTGGTGGCTCCATTATAAAGAGGGCAACTATGATGCCTAACTGTATACAGATCAAGATGAATGCAATAACCAGCTGGGCGCAGGCACTCATGAACCTAGGTTTCTTTGTACAGATTTTCTTCTTGCTTCCAGCCAGGATTCTTGCGATGCGGTTGGTTTTAGTTACTAGAGCAGAATAGCTCATAGCCGGTGAGAGGCCGATGCCGATTCGCTGAAGGTAACAGTAAATCTGCTGAGGTTTTGCAATCAGACAGAAAGTGCACAAGTAACCCAGGCAGATGCCAGCCAGAATGATGTAGCAAAGTTCTCGGCTGGATGATTTGACCACTGGAGTATCACGGTACATTATGAACACGATTGTAACAAACAGCGTGGCCAACAGACCCAGGCATGCAAAAACAACGGCTGCAATTGGTTCGGGATCGCCCCATCTGAGATACTGGACTGGGATGAGGTCACAACCTGCAGAAAAAGAAAAAGAGAAAGGTAAACTGAAGTATGTAGATGTGAGATTCTTTAATGATTGTTAGAGGTTTTCCTGGTATTTCTCTTCTTTTTTGTTTTTCAGGAAGTTGCCATTGTGTGGAGTGTAGGCTCAGATTGTGTTAAAATAATGTCAGTATAGTGGCACAATAAGTACATTTCAATGACAGCTTTTTTCAGTAGTGCACTTTATCTGGAATAGAACAAGACCAGGCTGATTAAAATAAGTCACCTCTTACAGTGCAAATTTGCCCTTTAAATTCTATGAAATATAGGAATTTGTGAATAAATTTCTGCAGCAAGTTGCACTACTTCAGTATAAAGTGCTTCAGAGTTTTCTGCATGCTATTTGCACATAAAGGACTAGATGTCAATCCTACTAATTATACTGTACACCACAAAGGATATTGGTATTTGCCTAATGATTGTGGAGAGAAATCTTGCAAATTCTGACTGTCAAAAAAAAGGAGAAAATTTCTCAGATTTGCTACCTTTTTTCTAACAAAAATTTTCTAGAATTGGACTCGTAAGTAATTTGGAATGGCACACTGTACTCACTTCTTTTTCTGACATTCATCCTTCTGAAATTTCTGAAAAACTAAAAGCTTATCTAACTTGTGAAATAAAATTGAAGTTAATGAATTAGCAACAAAGCTGTATTAGCAGTGTAACCATTTAAGGACACTTGTTTCTCAGTTTTGCATATGTTTTAGTAAATCATTCTATGCATCTTGGTCATAGCAAGTCAAAAAGGCTTTTAATTCTACAGTGAACAGATCAATAGACAGGAGTAAAAATCTGTCAGAAAACTTGTTGCTGGCATCCCTTCTTCTTCCCTCCTTTGTGTACGCACTGTCAAGACTGGATAGATAGTTTTGCATTCTGGCCAGTCTATGATCTCTTCCAGGATTTCTGGGCAGACATAGTTGTTTTGTTGCTGACTACAGCCATAAGCATCCATCCTTGAATTTTATTTCCAAAAGACTGAATCTCCTGTTCAGGTCCTTTGACCTTGCTTGTTTTCATGACTTTCATGCAAGATGCAGATGGGTTCTGTGTCCTGTGGCACCAGAGTATATTATACCAGTGACTACCAGCAAAAGATTTGTTCTCTACTTCCCATCAGCAGGTGATATACAGGCAATTCCTGGGAAGCAGGGCTTCAGTAAATGTAGCGGTTTCTCCAGAACAAAAATGTCATAACGAAAAATGCACACACCCACACCTTTCTCTAAGGTTTTATTGCTGAGCAGACATCATATGGTATGGGATATCCTTTTGGTCAGTTTGGCTCAGCTGTTCTGGCTGTGCCCCCTCACAAGACCTTGCTCATACCCAGCATACTGGTGAGGGAGGAATGTTGGAGAGACAGCCTGGAAAAATGACTGCTGTGTTATCAACATGTCTCTAGCTACCACTGCAAAGCACAGAACTGTGAGGGTTTCTACGGGGAAAATGAGCTCCCTCTCAGCTGGATCCAGTAATAACAAAGGGGAGGATCTTGGTGTTCTGGAGTGTAACTTCCTGAAAACAGTGGCATTGCCAGCCAGGGCAGGACAGCAGGGAGTGAATGATGGAGTGGAGAAAATGCAACTAAAAGCTTTTATTTATCCTATACATGTGTTAAGCTTGGTTGCAAAATCTAAATTAATTCAAAATATTGTGGTTTTTGTAATCATGTTGCTGTCTTCTGGTTAGGTCATGTAGGGAAGTGTCATTCTGACTTGTGGCTTGTGACAAGGCACTTCACCCTGTGAAGATGGAGGGCCAGGTGCTCACATCTGTATTTTCTGCAGTGAGGGTAGTTAGTGTCTGCTGGATATTTGGATGTCAAGAAATTTCAATTAATTAGGCAACCTGGCATCTCAATGAGTTGATGAGCAGGAGTAAAAATAGATATCATGACTATAATTTGGGAATTTCTACATGGGAAATCTATTGTATGCCTTTTCCCGTGTTTTATGTTGGGTCTAGAGTTTTCCAAATCTGCCACTAACATTCTTAGTGCAAAAGTCATGAAACAGTATGGTTAGATATTAGGCCTAACTCCTTTCTTCTCCAAGTATCTTCGCATTCTGTATGTCTACAGAAATAATATTTTTGAAGATATAATACCTTCAATCAGGTGGCAAAAGTACAAGGCAGATACTTCTGTGTTCTTGAAGAGAGTGGAAAACTCAGAAGGAGTGGGGTCAATGAGTCCTGACATTAGTGCATTAAAGTATACAAATTTGCAGTCACTTTAGTGTAAGACAGTTGGGCTCCTTACTGAATACAGATTAATTTCCTACCCATACTTGCCTGCTTTGATGTGAAAAGCTTTCTCTTGCATTAATAAAATTATTACCACATCTAAACATTTGAAAGACATTACATTTTCATGAAACAATTTCACTGCACTGGTTGATAATGGCTTTTTAACTCTTGCTGGTTTTAAAGAGTTTTCTTATTTAGTATTCAGTGTGAGGGAGACATTGTATTACTTTCTGACTTTTTCAAGTTTAAAGTAGCACAGTAATCACATCATAAAAATCAGCATTTTACACAAGTGAGAGTAGAGGAAAAGGGTGAAAACAAGAAGGAATCGTCTCTTGTGTGCAGATATCCCACCGTGGGTTTTTCCCCAGGAAGTTTTATAAATCAGTGACCTCTAAATATATTTTTGATTTTAGCAAGATTTAACTAATATTTCATTGAAACAAATAGTTTCCAGCTTCTAACAGTGCTACATATTCTTGACGGGAGATTTGAAGAGGAAAGGTCTTTACTGGCGGCTGGCCTTTGCATGCAGACAATGATATAGGGGCTAAATTTTTGCCTCATTTCTAACTTTGTTTCAGAGGTGAATCATAACCAAATGTTTCTCATTAGTTTCAGACTATTTCATGCCTTCCTTGCTTTATTACTCCTTTTTACATTCTCTTGATGAAATACCTGAGAAAAGAGTTGAAAACTTGTCATATTTTTCCCATCACCGAGTATACTTTACAAGGAGATTGCTAAACTTGGCAATGATTTATTCCTCAATTAAGATTTAAAGACTGGATCATCTTCATGAAACAATGATTGGTGAAGTTTTCATATAATAATTTTGCAGGTAATGGTTTCTGACAATGGCACTTTTCAGAGAAGGACAACTAGATCAAGTAAAAGAAAGATGGGAAAACAGCACTGTGAGTGTTCGTGTTAGATTGATGACCTGGACTATACCAAGACAAAAGCTGAAAAATGGTACCACAAAAAGAACTCATTCTTGTCAATGGCCATGACAATGCCCCATAGCCTATCTCTTACACTTTGTCAACATCTCCAAGCACCTGGAAATTTTTCTCTCCCAGCTGGCTCAGAAACAAGTAGAACAAAGCCAGTAGTCTTGTCCTATGGTGCCCAGTCTTGTTCTGTGGTACCTTAGCATGCTGAGGCACTAAGGTGGTCTGTGGCTTGTGGAAAGGCTGTTTGGACCCAGTCCAATATGGAGCAGGTGTCGAGTTGTTCTGTGCTCAAGGGTGCCTGGAGTTCCAGTAAAATTGGCATAAAACTGTAATGATGCTCTGCTGGCCAGAAAGATAGCCAGTGTGGAGCAAGACACCAGATACACATGTGAATAGCAAGATGAGCAGATAGAAAAAAAATCAGAATTCCATTTACCATGCTAGGGAAAAAAATCAGAATTCCATTTACCATGCTAGGGAAAGGTTTTCTTGAAAGACCCCCAAAAATCACCAAGAAATTCAGATAAGGATGTCTAAGGATCGTCTAAAAAAAAAAAAATAGTTTCTGATATTTTGGAAAAGCCTCCAGCTACTTCATTGATACACCAAATTTTGCCATGAACAAGGAGAAGAAATGCTCTTGAAGGCCTGACCACTGCCATAGGTCAATTGGTAGGTCTATTAGTATACTCTTCTCTTTCTGTAGAGGCAAATTTGTCCCTTATCTTTCATATTACATTAAAATTTGTTCATCTGGGAGAAGAGTTTACAGATATAAAGCATTATATTATAGACGATATTTTCTGTGGATTTGATTCTTAGCATGGTTTTAATTTGTTATTACAACTTTGACACCTAGAAGATGCCTTCGGCATCCATAAAACTGTATTAGCTTAGCACTGAGAAATCCCTTCCTGGGTAACCAATATAAAATATAGAACTAAACTATTTTCAAAGGTAAAATTGACAGAATAGGGATTGTGAATAGGATTGAGAGTGAAAAGTGAAGGTAATTCAATAACTTCTCTTAAGTTAACATCATGAGATAAAGCTCATTGAATCTGCACATGGAGAATAAAACTGGCAGAAAATTGCTGCTAGTTTAGTAAGTTCTAACTATTTTTTAGTTGGATTTGGCATCCTGGTCAGCAAGTTTGACCTGTTAAAAGAGATTTGGTTCCCTTGGTAATTTTTCAGACATCCTTCCAAGATTATCAGAAGTCCAAACTTCAAGGTTGAAATGCAAACATCGTAACCACATTTTAATAATGAATGTGTTTTCACATGGTATTTAGCACTCATTATTCAAAGTCTATTTATGTTATGAAATTAAATATTTTATATCAATGCTTCTAAATTTTTCTCTTATAATCCCAAAAGATGGGAGAGGGATCTCTTGATTAGTTATTTAGGCTTCCACATATATGGAAAGCTGAGATGCAAAAACGTCAGCATCAGAATAAAAATTTGCATCAAGCTGATGGGGTAGCTTTTAAAATTTGTTTATTTTTTTCAACCCCAACATTATCCAAACAGAGGATTACACTCTCCAGAGTCCTGGGGGTCATATCAGGTCCCTGACCTTCACATGGAATCGGGACCATCTGAAGGGAGAGAGGACATTAACATGTCAGAACTTTGCTCTGGTGCTATGGTAAATTACTGTAGCCACCAATCATTTGCCCTACTCTCATGGGACCTTTGCACAGGCAACAGAGGCAGCTGCTGACTGGGAATGTGTGTATCCTGTCACCTCTGCAGGACAGG